AAACTCTGTCCTGCCAGAAGTGAGCCCATTCCCACTTATAATGGACAGTGGGTATAATACACCTTAATACCTGAGTGCGAACCACTCACCATGATACTTAAATTAATAGATGTTATTTATATATTTCAGGTTATTACAAATAAAATCATTTTGGAAACAATTGATATCCCAAAAGCAAATAAAGCCAACAATGACAAGGTAATAAATCAGTTTTGACATAACTTGAATACTAAAAAAGCCAAACAAAGGTGTGCACAACAGTGACAACATAACTTAACAATTTCATTATTTTGTAGGATTAAAGAAAGGTTAAAGAAAATCATGTCGAACTGAACAACAAGAATCCCCAAACAACTCCAAAGAAACCTACAAGGAAGACACCAGTATTATATTTAAATTATCTCTATCTCTAAATAGAATAAAAGAAAGTTGCTATCCAGGTCTGTAGCATGTGCTACAAATTATATTATTAACACATTTATATAATTATATTAATATAAATGTGTTAAAAAATTTATAATATGAATTATAAAAAATTTTAAGTTTTGCATGGACAGAGCTTAAATTAATATTCTCTTATTTGTTGCAGAAAGCAAGTAGTTTTGGAGAAGCCTCGTAGATGCACAACCAAGTAATGATTAATTTAAAATTACAAACCGAAATTCTGATGAAGACATTAGAGTCACTTAAAAATAAATAGTATAATGAAATAAAAATGTTTTAAAGATAAATAGTGTTTTATTTGTTTAATGTAAGAGAATAATAATAAATATTTATTTAATAAATTTTTCAAATGTAAACTGAACTTTATTGACTTTAATGACTCCTTTTCCAGTCTTTGATTATTTAATTGTAATTAATTATTTGCATGCAATCAAAAACTATTTTTAAAAACTATTTTTAATAATGCCAAAGAAGTATAACTTCTTACGCGCGTACATAAGTACACGCACCCTTTTTTTTTTAAATAATTTATTTATGATGTACATGGCCAAACAATAGGAAGTGGTCGGCAATAAAGCCAAAGGGCACTTAATTACTCCGTGAGCATCGTTGTTGTTGCTCGACTTCAGTTTGCTCGAAACTGCGCTTCATGGACTCTGGAGGATTATAATAAAGTATTATTTTCAAATGAAGCTAGAATGTCTTTGTGTGGAGAGGAGCGAGGCTGGCGAGTGCTACGAAGTCCACGGGAACGCAGTGCGGATTTTTGAAGAAATCACTCCTTATAGCGGAGCCTCCTTTATGTTTTGGGCAGCAATTAATTCGACAGAGCGACGGAGTTAGTTTTCGTTGAAAATGGAAGATTAAATGCAAACCGGTACATAACGGAATGTACAAATACCACTAAGATCAGTGCACCCTGCTCCACAAAACGTCATGGAACTAAAGGGAGTCATTGCCGAAGAGTGGGAACGTATTCCTCAAAACGTTATGAAAACATCGTAGAAAGCATGCCCAGAAGAATTCAAGCTGTGATTTTGGGTAGAGAACTTTAGGTTTTTACATTTGTAACTTTATTTAATTTAAAAAAAATCATTATTCTAGACTCCATTGCCGACATATACATCATAAACAAATTAATAAAAAAATTGCCAATATTCACTCCACGCGTATTAATTTACGATTATTAGTAATTAGGGCATCGAGCCCGGGTTTACCCGGACCGAAAAAACCCGGGTTTTCCCGGTTCTGAGGATTACAAAAAAACCCGGGTTTAATTTTTAAAACTCGGGTTTTTCGGGTTTTTTTTAATACTTTTGTTATTGTTATTTATTTAGTTTAAGCCACTTCGAATGCAATAATAAGTAAATGGAATAAAAAGACGCTTTGATAAATTGTTCTTTATTACGTAAAAAGTAGCTTCGTTGCTACGTTCCTACCAATAAAACAAGCCTTGCAAGTTAAATTCGCGTTCCGCGCGTCCATCTCAAGACATGAATAGAGTGGCGGAGGATCTGGCTAGTGCGAGCGCTGGGTTCTACACCATCAACGCGTTCGGACACACAACATCTCGACAAATGGGTGAGGAGGCGATGGGGCCGCCTCAGCTACCGACTCGTGCAGATACTGTCCGGACATGGCTGTTTCGGCAGCTATTTGCACAAGGTAGTCGGGCGTGAGGAGGCACCAACCTGCCACCATTGCGACGCTGGCGTTATTGATGACGCGCTCCACACCTTAAAGGATTGCCTAGCATGGGAGGTGGCAAGGAGGCCTCTACTGGGCGTGCTACAGGGCGAGGACGCTACTCTCGATAACATTGTGAGAGTAGCAGTTACAAGCTCGGACAGTGACGGCATGTGGGAAATCTTCCAGAGATTCTGTGATGCACCATAAGGAAGAGGCGGAGAGGGCCAGGGAGAAGGATCCTGCAGCCCACCCGCGTCGCCGTAGGAGACCACAGCGTCGCCATTGCACCGTGCAACCCTGTGTGTAATCCTGGGCATGCAGTTGCTCCAGCGGGGGAACAGGGGCACATGCGTCCAAAAGAAGGGATGCTAACGCATCCCTGCAAGCATTGTACCCGGCCTCCCCCAGCTCTATAAAACAGGATGAATTGGCCGATGTGAAAGGCCCTTGCTGTGCCAAGGTCCATTCCACATCATTCGTGGCCGTAGAGGACCGTAATATTAACGGTTGATCGCGTGGCTGGATGCGGACAAGGCTACGATGTTACCGTGTCCTGCCCCGGGCGATTGCTGGTGGCGCCGTGGGGTTTTAGTGGGTATGCACAACAGCGAGTCCCACATCACCCTTCCCCAGGTCAACCATGCCGCGGGAGGGTATGCGTAACGCATTTCCCCACGGGAAAAAAAAAAAAAAAAGACATGAATAGAGTGAAGTGTGGAGCAGTGGAGAGGGGAGGGTGTAGCGAAGCTCGTCGCGCGTTGTGCGGGGTGTTGCCGGTGATGATTTTTTTTAAATAAAAGCTTTAATGGATTTAAAAACAGATATTGTATTACTGATGATGACTGGAGAAATAAAGATGAGATCCAAAAATATTGGATGTTATTAAAACTGTCGTCGAGGCGCTATGTCGACGCGATGCAACATTACTTACAGCTGATGTTTCCCTAAAATTTGCATTGACAAAAATGGATGAAATGAAGACACCACTAAGTAACAAAATGGCAACTGCATTTGGCAAACGATACCCAAAAAAAAACTAACTCAAGCAGCCACACTACAGTACCTACTTGACAAATCCGGGTAAATATTTTGAGAACATTCAAAATGAAGATAAAACTGTTTTTATCGGCCTACAGGACCAAGACCTACGAGAAATTGACATTCAGTTGTCTACTTTGTCAAATGAAGAGGAACTGAACAGACAGTTAAGTCAAGCTGTTGCTACTGATAAGAATGCTCCTGAAACTGGATCAGCTTGTCCATCAGACGATTTGCTTACCTACTACTGTGAGGGTAGAAATAGCACTCTTCGAGAATGGCGGTACGCGACGGCGAGAGCGTTCCTCTCTTTTTTTCTAAAGTGGTCAGATGGTCAGAGGTTATGTCTTAAATAATGTGTCAAATGCATAACTACTTTTTACTTAGTATTTTAGGTAATTATATAAAGACCTAATTATTAAGAAAACGACTGCAATTTAAATTATAGTAGAATAGAAGACTAGAATTATTCGTTACTTAATTGCGAAGAAGAGCTTTATTAATATTAAAATTAATTGTGATACTACAAAAATGTCTTTTGAAGATTTTATTTTTATTAGCTTATAAATACAATAAGTGAATGTTTCCAAAATAATTCATTTAATGTTAAAACTAATCTCTGCGATTTAAAAATACTAGATTACTTACTAAGTTTTAAGATATTCTGAAGAAAAAAATAAATCTTTATCACTTTTTTAAACATTAAAACTGTTTTTGTAATTTGTAAAGTACTGTTTCATTTATTTAAATTCTTCCTCATCCTTTATATTTTGTATTCATTCTAGGAAATCGATATATAAACGCAGATTAGTGAATTAAAAAAAAAATCAATAAAAAGACCGAAATGCTCGAAAAAACCGGGTACCCGGGTTTTGATTACTCTTAGACCCGAAAACCCGGGTTTTTAAAATTGGACCGAGTTTCGATGCCCTAATTAGTATACAGACTACGTCAAACAAATAATTATATCATTTAATTAACGGAAATAGACGTTAGAACGTAAATTTCCGTAAATTATTTTTTTCCAAAGAGTTTATAAATATACGTAGGCATATTTAACTTAAAAATGTACAGTATGCACATTAACGCATTCCTTTCCCGTTTTACATACTTCAATAAAAATAAACATCATCGTTTAATGAAGAACCGGATGAATTGTCGTAAAGATCGTTATCGTAGGCTCGTTGTCGCCTAATCACCACACAAAGGGAGGGAGCATTCCCAGAATTATTTAATATGAAGATTGCCCTCAGTCCGTCTCTACTCGTTGACCTGCCACTGCCCAAATAGTTACTTTCACAGGATCGAAATTTAAAACTATTATTGGAGATTTCTTCCTGATACATTCCGTGTATTTTCGGTGAGACATGAAGGTATGTTTAGTCTATATTAATCCTTTATTAATCTGTTATATTGTTAGAAATACTATAAAAGATTTTATATAGTTTACTGCAGACAGCCATTTCTAAAGACGAATCTTTCTAGTTAAGCTTTATCTATTCAATTAATTCGATTTTATTGTTTTTTATGTTACGTATATCCCTTGCATGCATACGAAATATATAACCTATGTAATTAAGCTATTTGCCATAAATTATACATAAACTAAATAAGTACTTTAATAAATAATCTTTACTAAGGTTAAGCATAAATATCGATGGACAGAACATAATTTATCATAAAATTAACTTAAATAATACTTTTATTCCGTCTAATCTCGGGGAAAACGTCTATTTATTTCACACGTATTGCGAGATGTATTTATTTTCTTTCTTTTTCAGTACTTAATTATACTATTAGCATGTGCTGGTGTTGTATTAGGAGCAACAATGTCCGATGGTCAACTTGAAAGGACGTTAGCCGATAAACCAACTATGCAGAGACATATCCGATGTGCTCTTGGAGAAGGTCCTTGTGATACCGTCGGAATACGACTGCGAAGTATGTATTTTATATTTAAGCCATCAGCTTCGCCCGCGTGGAGTTCGTATATTTTGGTAGGATTCTTCTACGACCTTTGTAATAATAATCGTATTAAATCAGTCTATTTAAGTAAAACTAGCAAGAATTAGATACCCAAACCTTATTAAGAATCACACTATCTATTGGTCCTGAAAATTCCTTTTGGTAGTTTTTCAGTTTATAACTTTCATACAAGTAGACGCGGTCGGGGCACTATAATTTGTCAGGCTTTTTAGGTTCTGAAGTTGCTAAGCTCCTATGAACTATGTACATGAAACTGACAACATTTGCTGCAAATGGTAATTTTATTGCTAATGTCGTTTTATAAGGATTATTTTTATTTCAACCTAGTAGATTATTACTTAAAAGACATTAAAAAAAATTGTTTATTTCTACTTAAATATTTAACTTATCTCGAACACGTCGATTGTCTAGTTGTAAGCTTGATTTCGAGTTTTAAAAATAACTACCAAAATGACTGAATATCGGCTAAGTATTTTTTGTTATGTATAAACGAAATCATTCGATCTTTATAACAAATTCAAAATATATTTTATTGCTATCGGCATCGTTTATAATTTTTTACACGATTAATTATATAATAAACTGAACATAAAAGAATTAAAATTGGCAGGTATTATATATTTATTGCCTTAAATGTTTTTTTATTCAGTTCAATTTTCCTTAACCACAACAATGTTTTCATAAAAAATATTATGTAGTTCAATAATAACCGCCCACGTAGTCTAGTGTAGCAGATGTGTTTTATCTTCTTTGATTCCTTCTTTGATACTCAAGGAGAAACACGAATGAAAGTTATTTACTTTCAAGACAAAAATGTAGGTAATCTCTTACTGACCCAACTAACATAAAAAATGTAAAATTAAACACAACAGCAGTTATAAAGCTATGTTTTTTTAGCGTTGGCACCATTGGTGTTGCGAGGAGCGTGTCCGCAATGTACAATTCAAGAAACGAGACAAATTCGTCGCACCTTGGCTTTTGTTCAGAGAAACTTTCCTTGGGAGTGGGCAAAGATTGTTCGTCAATATGGCTGAAGAAAAGGCCAAACGGAAACTTAAAATATTAAATATTTATTTATTTGCATATTCATTAGCTATTTATTCAAAGCCCTTTATTGACACTAAGTAACTACACAGATAATTAATAAGGTAATTAATAATTATAGTAAAACTTTGAATCATTACTATAGTTATTATCACTAATATTCAATCTGTTCTAATTATTATTAATGATTAAAATAAAAAAATATATAAATTATGCGTTATAAGATTAAGAGAATTGATTGTGACAGTTTTTTTACATCCGTGGCATATATTTTCTAATTCAAGACAAGTTTTGTTTGTAAATGCATACATTGAAAATTAAAAAGCATCAAATGAATATAGATTTAATACGTTAGTAGTAGACGCAGCGATTTTTCTAAGAACTATTTTCTAATTGAATTTATTGTTTGTATAAAAATTAAATTAACCGACTGTTAATAGATTTCCTTAGCGATTTTTCTAAGAAGCACTTTGTAATTATTGCCAAATCTTAATAAAATGGGTACTACAAGTTCTGTTTTTATTTTGTCACGTAATACGGGGCCTATGTAGAGGGGGATTGTTGAGTAAGATGTTACGGCATCACCAGCTTGGTTTGGTCGGCATTCTCTCGTGGCGTACGCTGAATACAGACAACTTCAACGTGCAATATTAAGTAATAAAATCCGGAATAAAGACGTAAAAGTGACTGACAGGATGCAGGTGAGCGATTTTCTATACTTTCCACTAATTAACTATGTCAATATAGTAATTTTTAAGTCAATGTCTGGTGTGGAACATGTTCATGAGATACGATTAAGATAGAAAGTTTGTAATGAATTCCGTAAAATTCAATTCTGTTTTAAAATATTTCATAACAACAAATTTAAAGTAAATTTAATAAATTGTATTTAAATTAAAACATGACCTATTTATTATTTGTTTCCTTATTTCATTCGACATAAGAGCTGTTTTTGCATCCCATCAAGCCCATACCCTAAGCAATAAGTAAAAGGAAAAACTGCAACATTGGGGTTTTCCCGTTGCTCGATCCTGATTAAAAAATCCAAGCGACTTTCACAATTTAAAACATTAGCATCTAAATGTACTCATATTTAACCTATTTTTTTAATTATTGGACCATGTACATGCATTTTAATATAAAAGACTCAAGAACACCAGCAACTATTGTTAGGCAATTTCGGAGCCATAAACTGTTACTTAATAACTTTTTGTTCGCAAATCTCCTTTGAAGCCTACATTGGTAATTCATAGGTTCGTGTTTAAAGTGAACAAATGAGTCATACCCTTTATTTACATAACAATATAAATACTCAAACAATTTAAACTCAAAGGCTGCATTTTGCGGTAAACCATTGTAATTTAGTTGGCTTAAAAATGTCAACCCCAATATGTAGATTGTTAAGTTTCCGCTCATTCAAGGTTGGTAAGTTATTAGGTCGCAAAGGAAAAGTATCAAATTCGTATTTCCTGTAGTTATGTTATTACTATACATACATTAACACGAAATTCGTATACTTAATAATTTATCTAACATAAAATAAAGAGTGTTAAAGATATTTCGTTTAATAGATTTAATTTATTTTAGTTTAGTTTGTTTGTACGCTGTGATTAAAGTTTAATTTGTTTCAGAGGTTCATATTTTCTTACATATCGTACATATATTTTACTTCATTAATTATTTTCTGTAAGTATATATATATAATTTGCTTATATGAGCTTTAAAGTTAATTCAAAGCATTAAAAGAGCATCCAAGTTCATTATCCTATAAAGTTTAACACAAGGATTTGCGATAAGCGGCTTTGTTAAACCAAACTGGTTTCGTAACAAAGGCTTAAACTTAAATTTAACAACAATCTTTTGTTTTTTCATTAGATGAAGTAAAACATATTCTGATTTTAAGGCCGACATCGATTGTATCTAAAATTTGCACAAAATTTTGAAGGTTATTAGGCGGAACTGTAGGCTAACAAGAGAAAGAGCTTTATGATCTAGCAAGTAAAATAAAGAAAAAATTGAGACATGAGAGGTGGAAGCTGCAATGATAGCATTGGTAATCATTGCAAACTGTTACAGAACCCTTGTCTGTCTATTCGCGCACCACGTTAAAACAATTAGTTCAGTGTCGTTTTTACGTTTATATAATATTTTCTATTTATTCTAGAGTATCAGGCCTACCAAATAAAGAATTCTAATTTTGAACATTAGCATATTGACATTTCCACATATGTATAACTTGTGTATACAAGAGATAGGACGCACCTAGGTAGGTACTACGTATAAATAGTGTTGTGGTTAATCATATATAAATTTCTATTTAAATTTGATTTACTGTGTGATAAAACTAACAATCTTAGATATCAACAGTGGGGTAACAATAGGGTGGCAGGGTTGGCAAAATGCCACGGGCCCCCGACCCAAGAGGGCCCCTGCCCAAGAGATACTATGTTCTATGGATGAATGTTAAGTCCCCCATACGCATTGGGCTAGCGTGAGGGACTACAGACCATTCCCTCTCGCCTAAGAGAGGAGGCCTATGGCCATTAGTGGGACATATATAACGTGTAATTGAGTACGCTGAAATCTCGAAGTTTATTAAAATTAAACTGAGTACAACGTGACGATTTTTACTGATTGGGTCCCATCAAAAGAATTTGCCACGGGCCCCAGATGGTATAGTTACGCCACTGGATATCGATGTGGTAAGACAGTATATTCTTAACTATTATCTTTTTCATGCAATTCCCACGATTGTCTAGCATACACTTAGGTCAGGGCCGCATTATTTCTTATTCTCCAAATATTTCCCAAAGATTGTTCGTTCTACAAATCATTAGAAAACTAGTAAATCAATCACTACAGATCAGATCTACAGACTGGCGTTTCCTAACTAAATATGTGTATGTGTGTATACATAATTAACAGGGCTCAGCCATTATTATCAGAGGGTGCAGAGCGTGGCATAAAATCCAGAAGTCATGGTGTATGAATTCGTAGAGGTTTGGGGTTTGTTAGGTACAAAAAGGCAATTACTCTTATCCCAAGACACAGACGCAACGCAACGCCCGGAAAACGACTTTCAAACAAGCAGAAAGCTTAAGGCGAACCACATTGCAAAAATTGATTGAGTTATTTCGAATAGATACCCTAAGATATTAGGAAATCTAGATAATGGCATGAAAATTTGAAAGCTACGGTTCCAAAGATTTATGTCTCGAAGATTACTCAACAATTAAATTTCTAAGCACGTAATATCTACCTACCCGAATGGCAACGGTGTCAATACGTTGTTAAGTCGTAAGGACGTAATAAAAAATATTTTTCTAGTTTTATACGATGTTTAAAAAAGTAGAGCACCATGATAGCAGATACTGTATTTGTTTATAAGCTAGGTTTTCGAATTTCAATATAATTTATATATTGTGAATCGAGCAGGATCTGTGATATGAAACAAACGACAATAGTATATGATAATAATGATGTTACTCCATAGGCCGATAGCGCAGCTCAACTATGACGTCATTGAAGATTCGGGTCATAGATCTGCCTTGGGCTTTTAGTTTGTGTGTCAAAGGATACGACTTTATTACTAAGTGAGGTCAAATGAACGCTCGAGGAAATCCCATAAATGCTAATGTAAAGAACATGATAAAGAAATGTTACGCCTACATGTATATTAAATAAAATAGTTTATACGTAGTCGAATAAACGTTTTACAAATTATGAAAGCTTGGTTTTTAATTAACATAAATTAGTTTTTTAACATTATACATTCTCAAGGAATCTCTGCGAAGAGGTAATTCTCGGGTTATAATTCATAGAGGTCAAAAGCGTATTCAAAACTAAGCAAAACCTGCATTCAGAAAATATACGACCATTACGATCCTAAATTATAATTTAAGTCACAATTATTATATTTTGTTTCAGGCCGCACATGTACTCGTGTTATGTGCATTAGTAGCTATTTGCGTCGCCGAGACACAACGGCCGCCAGTCTCAGATACAGCACTAGATGACGCTCTCAATGATAAGCGTTTCATACAACGACAGCTGAAATGTGCGCTTGGTGAAGCGCCCTGTGATCCAATTGGGAAGAGACTAAAGAGTAAGTTTATATTATTTATTAATATATATACTACTATAAATGGCCGTTGAAAACAAAATAATATTAAAAAAGAAATACGGGTAAAATTCCTCTTTTTATACCTATTAATTTTAATTTTTACAGCATTGGCACCATTGGTCCTGCGAGGAGCATGTCCTCAGTGCTCGCCGCAAGAAACAAAACAAATACAACGCACGCTTTCGTATGTTCAAAGAAACTTCCCACAACAATGGGCTAAAATTGTACGTCAGTATTCTGGCTAAAGCTAGAATTAGCTAACGATAAGGAAATACTTTTATTTATACTATTAATTATGAAAGTACATTATGACTATGAGACATGAGCGACAAAAATAAAGACGCAGACTTTGTAAAAAAAGCGCGGGAAACTGTTCATAGAAGTATCATTAATAATAATCAAAATTTTTGCGAAATATCGTATTATATATACGTACGTAATGTATAAGTACTTATTACAATATATGTAGTAATTTTGTCATGACTCATGACATGATCTTACCTACTCTAGAATAAGAACTAGCATTAGCATAGTTTAGTTCTTATTCTAAGTTAACTACTTATTAAATTTAAGCTCACAGTCTAAAGAAAAGAAAAGCGTTAAAGTTACGAAATATTTTTTAGGTAAATTTTGTTGTGCAAAGTTTTTTTGTTAATTATAACGTTTCAAATCCTCAAATTATTAAAATCAATCGATTGATGTATTATTTGTAAATATGGATAATTTCTGCTTTATTTTATCCTGTCCACGTACTTAATCATTGTAATTTATTGTAGGTATTTAAAAAATATTCATTGACTTGAGCAAAGTTATCCATATTAATATATTGTAGTCTTTAGATTTATAGTAGAATAGTTACAACTCTTGTTCAAGTAAATGTTACTTGGATTATAATATCATTGAAATTAGGTACAACAAAGGTTACCGTAACAAGCCTATTTAGATCAATAATAAAGAAAAAAGGCTTAACGTCCCGTCTATATTTTTAACGATTTCTCAATAAATTTTATAAAAATAACGGCTTGATTTTTATTTTGTATCCTAGAATAATCTGAACTATACATTTGTTTAAGTAATGTTGATAATATAATATGTCTTATCAACAATACCATAAACTATTAATGTATGTAAACGTTTAAACGATTAGAATAATTAGGTAAATAAATACTGGATAGTATAGTAATGATAAATTAATTGCCGTAAATGTAGTGGTCATTCTATTTTAAGTGTAGTCAAGAAAGTGAGTTTTAGACTCGTTATTAAATTACTAATGATTCATATAGGTACTTACTAAAATTTGTTTAAACATGTTTCATATTTGTATTGTACTCAATAAGAGCCTACCAGCGCTGTGCTATATGTAAAAAAATAGAACAATAAATATTGGCATTCACAGTGAAAAAAAATATTATTCCATTTATTTTAGAGTAAACATATAAAAAATCGTTGTCCTTAGTCATATACTGTTTTTTCAAAATAATGCATGTGATTTATTGATCCTCATCTCCCAAGTGTGAAGACGTGATGTTAACGAATTTTTTTTTTAAACGTAATCATTATTATAGTCTGTTAGTTCTGTAAGTATCGACATAAAATCAGTTAAGAGTCTGTGGAAAATAAAACGTAGGCTATAATTTATGTTACAATATATTGTACGGCCACAGAGTAATAATAATGTCCAGATCTCATGATTTTTTTAATGTTGGTGTATACTGACGCTGTCCTCTTTATTACTTCCGTTAGTCGTTTCATTCAGTTTATTATAACATCTCGTAATTTCATACAGTTTTAAAAATAAAAATCTTTTTTTAATTTAAAAATTAATATTTTATTAAATATTATAAAATAGTTAGAACTATAGTGTTGAATATTTTTAATAAATTAAATTAAAAGTAACTCATTTATTGCATCAGGCTGACCAACCAACACAATTTAGGTATATGAGTACGCAGTCGGTGAATTTATTTACAACTATTATTTTGCAACCTATGACAATTGAGAAGCAATATATTTTGATTGTATTTAACTCATTGTGATTTTTATGAGACGTTAAGTACAGTTGATATATATATATATTTGAAAACCGGAATGTTATGGTGACAGTGTTCTTGCTGGGGTAACTGAAGAAATATGGTCGTGTGTGTTGCTTGAATTCTGGTGAAAAAGATGTGTGATCAAACTGAAGTAAATTATGCTGATGGAGACGTTGTGTGGGTAAAATTGGGTTCTTGCTTTTGGCCTGGCGAGGTCGTTGGCATAGAGAAGCTACCTACCGACTTCATCACGTCTTTTAAGAAGCCACCAATAGCTGTTGTAAAATTCTTTCAAGAAGATACATAGTAAGCATGACATATATTATATAATTTATAACTTTATAGTTATAATGTCGGGCTACCTTTGTTTACAATATAATACCTTTAAAATACACCAAAAAAAAATCAAACAAAGATGACATATTGGAAGTTACCACTACAAGCCTTACTGTTGTTTCTAGATTAACTATTTTGAAGGTTTCGAATCAACTTTTGATTCTCAGACATTGTAAAACTATTTTTATAATATAGAGATTGTCTCCACTCAACTGTTATATTATTCATTTCAGTGAGTATGTAAAGAATCACTATGCAATTTACAAATATGACTGCAGTCGCAAAAATGAATTCATTCTTAAAGGATTAGGTAAGTAAAATGTGGTAGTTATGCATTTTTTGTTTTTATAAATTTATGTATTTGAAATCACTTTAAATTACCACAAATATATTTATGTATCAGTTACACTTGATGTTTTGCCTTTATTAATTAAATTCTCTTATAATTCAGTATGTTCACCACTGTTAAAAATTCAAAAGTATTTATAAAATGTAGTTAATACAACACTCGCTACAGTATTTCTGCTGTTAGTTGAATGAAATCAATGCTAGTTCTGTGACTGAAATATTTTAATTTTAGGGCAGGCAATACCATAGAGTAATAGTTGACCCCTGTCTGTTCAAATGTATGATAATTAATTCAGAAAACCATAGAAACTGTCTGTAAAGATTACCTTACTAATATTTATTATTGTATTTTACAGATATGTACAGAAAGAAACATGGACCAATGGAGAAGTTTCCTGAGGATGTTATCCGTGCAGAAACAGCAGTAGGGGGCGATATTGAGATATTGACAAGAGATGAATTTCAAGAGACTAAAAAAGAAAGCTATGCTGATCTTTTTGCTGACCCTAGAAGAAAAACACCTGCTTCTACCAAAAAAGGTATAAATATATCTACTGCTATGCGCCGCCTTGTCATGAATACACTAAAACTCACACATATATGTAGATTAGGCTGTAGGACCTTTAATCCACAAAAAGTCAATTTAATTAATCAATGTTTATATGTCTTAGATAAATAAAATTTAGTCAAAGTAAATTTTTTTGTTTAATTTGTTTGTTGTTTAAAAAAAATAATTTTACAAATTATTTTTTGTAAAGAATTCTTGCTATATTTAATTTATATGTAGAAAAAGGGTTTTTTTGCCAAAACGTGTCAAAATGTCAAATTAATACAGGCATTGCATTTTACCAACTATGAGTGTGCAAATAAATATTAGTACAAAAATATAGAAACCAATTTAATAATAATACTATCTTGTATTACATTTACTAATATGTTTGACTTGCAAGTCTTTTATTTTCATATAACATTTATATGTCTTAATATTGTATCTTAAAAATATTAGTGGTGTAAATTGGAATCTTTCTGCTTACAGTCGACTCTCAATAATTTGAAACTCAAGGGACCATAGATAAATTTCAATTTACCAAGAGTTAAAAATAACATGCGTTTAAATAATTATGAGGGGAAGAGGGGACTCAAGTATATAAGAGTTTGATCAAATCTTGTGACTAAATATTTCTATATTATTATGTATTAAGAAATAAATACGGTAATTATTATTTATTTCGAAAAGACGTCCGTAATCTTTTTATGAGTGAGCGACTTCAGTCTAACTTTGTCATGATGTCATCAAACATTAACATGACTTATAAACAAAGTTTAAAAAAAGATACTGGAATACCCACTTAACGAACCCAAATCTCATTTATGTATACAATTAACCGGTCTGCACATGTATGTAAATAAACAACAGGTCTGTGCATGATAAACACTTTAAATTAAATTGAGTTGGGAAGCCCGGACTTCAAATTATGGCATGTTGTTAAACAAAAACCATCCCATCAATTTCAAACTCGTGAGGGGATGAATTACCATTGATTTTATTTAATTTATCAAGTATTTTTAAGGGACTGGAAAAAATTCAAATTAATGAGTGTCAAATTATCGTGAGTCCACTGTATATAGTTTGCTAGTAAAATATATGGTGGAATAAATCCTATTCCGATTTCCCAAAATATTTTTTTTATATTCATATAAAAACTAGGATCTGGAAAATGATGGAGCTAATAAATAAGTCATTAATATAAATACATATATTAACCTTTTTTTTTTCAGGAAAGAATGCAAAAGGCAGGCCTTCTGATATTTCTAAGATTTCAACACCAATTAGAAAGGTAATTTATTTTTGATCCATGTTTGTACTTATTATATAATGCCCTTTTGTTTTTTGTTTGTAGTAATTTAAGTTCTAAAATCATTGTTACCTTATCAAATAACCTGTAAATTAACCTAAAATTAATGACTCCTTTGCTTTCCTTTTTTACATTGTATTAAGTACAAGGATATTCTGTATACTTTTTACCTATGATAATATAAAATTAAGTTAATGGTAATTGGTTTGCCTGTTATTAAACACTACAACTGCAGTAAGACATTATGAGAACTTTGGCTGTTATATCTGCTTATTGCTCAGGCTCATTCTTTTATTTTTCAGTTAAATAAGCTCCAAGGCCAATATTACAGTTAATTAAATATATTTTATTTTAAAATTGTATGAAATAATAATATATTATACAAGTACATATAATATGGTAAAAGTCTATTATTCTTGTCTATACTATCTATATCCATACTATTATATCTGCTAAAATTCAGTTTATATTTTTTTAAATTGTATTTCAATTTCTATATTAATTTCTGTTTTTTTTTTATTCCACGTCAATATAATATAATTTATTTTATTAAATTCTAGCGCAAAGAGAAGACCAACTATCAAGTACACATATTAGTACAGGGTTCTAAAACACCAAACGCTTCGGAAGAAGTAACGCCGTCTACAAGTAGAGCTGGTTCAGAACCACCTGAAGAGAAGCCAATGGAAACCGACAGTAGCCCTTCAAAATCAATTCCTTCAAATAGCACTCCCACAATGTCAAGTGCTGGTATTTATGCTTGCCATTCTTGTCCCTTTTCTACTTCTCGTCTGAATGTCCTCATTTTACATAACAAAACTCACAGCACAACATTTACACCTTATATACCTACACCAATCAAAAAGAAACCCTTAAAAAAAGCAAGTCACCAAAATCTACGTCCGCCACTTCGAAATCTACAAAGCCTCGTAAACCCCGACAAGATAAAATAGATATAGAAACAGATAAAAAAGGACAGAAACGAGAAGCAGAAAATAATGGGATTGATAACAATTTACCTGATACAAAAAAAGTAAAAACAGACGAAGAAATTAAGAGCAGCTTATTAGCTGATTGGGATGATGGAGATGAGGACTCAAATGAAGAAGAAACAATTGCCACAGCTAGTTCTCCTGATGTTCCTGTGGCTGCCGGATCCCCAGCTGTTCCTACATCGGCTGAATTGCCTACCGATCAAGTATCAAGTGAATGTGAACAGCAGGAAACGACAGACAACAAAAAGGTTGAACTTCTACCTTCAGATAAACCAGAAACATCTAATGATGCTAAATACGACTTTTGTGAAGACGAAGATTGGCCTGTAGAGGCAGATGTTGGAAGAAAAATTCCTCGCGTTAAACCCTTAAAACGAAAAGAAGACATGAAGAGCCTCAGTATAGATGAAAATGATGTGGCTAGAGAAGTAGCAGTATTGCTAACTAAAACCAATGTGCCCGAGTTACCATCTGCTCCAGAGCCTTTAAAAGTAGAGGAAAATTTTCCGGAACCTTCGATTGTAAAATCTCCGGATAAAAAAACTGAAAATTCTCCTGGATTGGGCGAGCCACCCGAAAAAAAAGTCGATGGTGAAGCTAACAGTCAAAAACCTATTTTTAAAACTAAAACGTTTTTTCGTAGTAGACATTCAAGAAGTCAAGATGCAATAGGGAAATATGTTGCAGAACAATTAAATGCAGCCGAGCGTCTTGACATGCTTGATAATGATATAAATGGTTCTGAAATGTCGTCATCGCCAGAGCCCATTATTTCCCCTCCCATAGAACACATAAAGGTTGCTCGATTAGCTCCTAAAATTCAACTTAAAAAATTGAATGCAGAAGCAGCACAGTTGCGTGAAAAAGAAAAGTATGAGTTAGAAAAGTTACAAGATGGCGGTGAGGAAAAAGGATCTTGTAATGAAGAAAATTTGATTCTTGATACTACAATAGAAAAAATAACTACTCAAAAAATTGTTACTGAAACCAATATATTAGAAAGTTTTAATGATATTCCTTCGAATGATGATAGTAATAAAGATTCCAGTGAAAATATGTCAACAGCTGAAAACCTGAACACTGAAGTAAATAACAGCCCAGAAGAATCATTTACTGAAAGAGAGCAATCCAACGATGTTATCCATAGTCATCAGGAATGTACTTTATCAAGCATAGATAAGGAGGATATGAACGAAGATGTAGAAACTGCACAGGAAGTTATTGAAACACAATATAAGTCGTATATGAGTGAATCTACTGCATCTGCCGTTGATGCCTTACTGAGTGTTTCAAGAGAAGCTGATAGAGTTACAAAAGTTATTAGTGTTGATCCACCAGAAGACCTCTTTGAAGATGACCTCAAAGAAAGCGCTCTAACTTCTAATATTAACACATTCGAGATATCATCAAATGGCATAGAAAATGAGATACCAAGGATTAACTCACCAGTTCAGCAGGCCACAGATCTTAATACAAACACATCAGATAAGCCTTTTACTTCTGAAAAAGAAATTATTCAACAACTTTGTGAATCTGATCTATCAAAAGTAAATATCCAAATGGATGATTTACCGAAAACCGATGAAAATGTAGAAAATAACGAACCAATTTCCGAAGAAATACATAATGGTGATGATGATAAGAAAAATGAAGTTGACTTAAAACAAGACGACGAGACACTAAAAGTTATTGCAAATACACCATCTGAATCGGACTTGCAAATTGCAGAAGCTTTAATTAATTTACCTTCTACAACCATGCAAAATAAAGTTTCTATAGCTTATACAGATGAAATAACGTCGGCAGGTAGTTTTGAAAGTAAATCAACTGAAGATGTTATCTCCAAAGATACTATTATTGAAAATTTTAATACTGACTTGCATGAAAAGGTTATTGAAGATAATAAAACAAATACTTCTGTTCCATTACTATCAAATGACATCCGATTTGAGAGCGAAGAAGAAAAAAGTGAAAATTTGAATGCCGCTCAATCCTTGGTACAAATGTCGGAATCAATTGATCATAAAATAAATATACCTGAGGTTACAACTCCATGCAAAGACAAGTCCGGTCCCGTTGACCCTATTAATATTAAAAAACAAAGGTATAATGATAAAACCCCTATTAAACTATTAAATGAAAATGTTAAGGAAAATGATAAACTAAATGGAAACAAAGGAAAAATAGAAACAACATCGAAACTCTTAAAAATATTAGAAGAACCCAGCACTTCTAGAGTCACTATTACAAATAATGCGATTGTCAATAAAAAAGTAATTGTTCCTCCAAAGGGTAAAATTTTAAATACTCATGTTAACAAATCAGTGATCAAACCTAAACAGGTAGCTAAACAACAAATTATAATTAGACGTACGACACCAAGCAAGTTACTTAATAATGTTACGGAAGTCACAACTGCCGATAAAATTATTTTGTCACGTACCAATAAGGCCACTGCCGATGGATCTGCAGTACAGAGCTACACTATTCAAACAACACCCAATATGCAAACGGAGAAAAACACAATTATAATTCAGCCAAAAATAAGAAAAATTACGAAAACTGCCCCCAAATTGCAGAAAATTAAACCACAAATAACATCACTTCCTACAATAATTAATAACAAGTTATCTAAAGAGTCAGGGAAACAAGCTGATACAGTTTTCGATATAAATTCTATGCCAATTGTTATATCTGACGATGTTTTAACGCCAGAAAGCATTGAAAAAATGCCTATTGTTATGTCAGATGGTAATATAATTACTTCATCGGCTTCTAAAGTAATAAAGAATAAAAAAATAATCACGAGTGAAAAAATAACAGTTACATCATCTTCGAATAAACAGGATAATAAAGGAATTTCAACCCATCATATTGTTCATGATGTTAATAAATTGACTCCAAATATATTATCTAAATCATCTAAATTAAGGTCTTCCAAAAGTATGTTAGTGATAGATAAAGCTACGGGAAAACAAAAATTAATCATGACCAAGTCTGATGCTGCTAATAAAGGTATGAAACAACCTCAAAAGCTTATACAAACTTCCCAGAATAGTCCTAAAACTGAGAAATTTGTTATTTTACCTAAAACTAACTCCCCGCGACCCGCAAGAACCCAGAAAATCGTCATCGACCCACAGACTGGGAAAGCACACGTTGTAGTCGAAAAGGGACCACAAAGTGTCCCTGTATCTGAGAGTAAACCTGTTTCGGCAAAGCTAATACCTTCATCTGCAGACTCAAAGACTCCTGGAAGTACTGTTATGATTATTACCGATGAGCAAGGTACGCTATCGAGAATAGTTCTTACGCCGGAACATGAGAAAATTCTTTTTCCAAACAAACAACAACCAAATGTTTCGCAGTTAAAAACAATTACACACCTTATCTCTACAAATGCCTCTACACAGCAAAAAAGCATTATCACGTCAGTAGCGGCCGCAAAGACTCCAACAAGGATTGTTTCAAAGCCACAAAAAAGTGCTATTATCACCTCAAAAGGGCAACTCATAGTAGGTGGACGATTAGCACCTACTACTCAAAATATCGCTCCACTACCAGAAATTAGGCCTGCTACAAAGCGTCTTGCTGAACCTAAAAAGATCGCTCCTATGATTCAAAAACAGTCGCCAGAACCATTAATTTTCCTGCAAAAATCGGGTACGGTAATGCAATTGACTGCTTCTCAATTTGAACATTTGCAAAGAACAGGTCAAATTATACAAAAAGTTCCTGCACAAGAAAAGGTTATAGTTCAGAAGACAATTACAATGTCGCCGACTGAGACAATAGTTGCGGCTCAGAAACCCAGAGCACGCAAGCAGCAGACCGATTCGGCTGCTCCGACAAAAAAAATTAAACATGAAATTAACATTGCGCCAGCACCACCCCCTGTTCTTGTTCCTGCCCCTGCTCCTTCCCTAATTCCGGTGCCTGTCCCAGCCCTTACACCAATATGTTCTACCACAACCAATCTGCCACTTGCAACCAATAATAATGTTCCAACCAACGCAAAATCTACCCTCTATTCTAACATGGACAATTTCGAAGAATTACTTCCGACAACAGCAATCGCTCGTCCTGCTGAGAGTGTTCTTGTTCCGACAGAACAAAACTCACAAGCTCCTGCGGCGCCCCTTTCCGATGGGCAACTGCTGGCAGTGCCTGGAGAGCATTTTGGGGGACCTCAGGGGTCCTTTTATCTTTGTGTTGAGGAAAATGGCACTTTTACTGCCATTGATAACCGCCCATTAGTTTTGGAAAATAATCAACTAGTTCCGATGCCGGAAACAATTCCCGTCATACCTCCTCAGCCCGAGAGAAGGGATATTCTGGAGGCAGCACTAGCTAACAGCGATGTTTTTCACGCTGAAAGTACTCGCGAAGAGGCACCTGATTTTCGAGATCTCAACGCTAACGTCTCCGTTCACTGCCGAGTGTCTGAAACTAGCACTACGCTAAATCAGCCAATCATGACCCCAGTCGAAGTACCGTCGAAAGTGGTCTCTGAACCAGCCGTGCCTTCAAATTTAGATGATGGTTTGGCTGTGATTGGCGTGACACCTCACACTGTACCTACGTCTCTGGAGCTTCCGATTACTGTGACAGATCCGCGCATAGCACCTAAAACTACAGACCCTTTAAGTAACAGTAACTACAGAACGTCCCTGTTGCCGTCGCCCAGTACAGAGATGACTTTTGCGGTTACTGAAGACAGTGATGTATCGATGGTGGGCCCTATTTCTATGCCTCTTTTAACGGAAGAGGACTCCGTAGGTAAATCTATGCCTATATTAATAGACGAGATAACGGAGAGAACGATATCGTCTGTGGAATCGACAGTAGGCTCGCCGTCGTCTATCGACGTACGAGAATCGGAAACGGAAGATGGTCAGTGGCCCCGAAGGTTGCTAACGCCCGGATCAGATATATCAGAAACTTCAGTGGAGATCCCAATGCAGCCCTCAATTCAGCTTTCTGTTAGTGATCTATCTCATAATAATAGTTAAAAGATTAAGTTAATAACTAATGCTAATACAAGATTGATAGAGAGCTATGGACGCTAAGGTGCAATAGGAAGACACCAATTGATCAAAAAAGTTTTCCGACTCATGTATACATGTGATCTGGTTTTGTGCTAATGTTACACATTTGAAAGGACTAATTGGTATTGAAAATGGCTTAATATCATGTGCGTGTTAGAAACATTCACAAAATATGTAAATATTTCACTAAGTGTGACTGATCATTGAGCTATTCATCTCAACATTTTTATTAATTATATAATATGCACAATGCATGTTTACTCTTAAGGATTTTAAATGTAAATTAAAAATTTATTATAACTATATGATATTGTTGGATCATATTTGTAATATATGAAAGTTAGCTATATTGTAATATTTTTTTATGTCAATCAAAATTGTGGATAAATTAGCATTACATACTTACACATCGAGACATTTATAAATTATCATTATAAATTACAAAACATTTATAGAAATACTATGTATTTGCGTTAGTTTATTTGTCTGATGGCGGATTTAAATAAATAATTAAAGCCTACAGTGCTAGGTTTGTTTTGGTCGTAGAAATCCTCGCGTAAATGAAATGACTAGAATATTAGACCATCATATTTTTTAAGTTCGAAGGTTGATTGTGTAAATAATTATTAAATAAGTATGTTTCATACTTTTATATATAATATATATTTATAGAGGTATATATTTTTACGTGATTTAACAAGTTTTTAATTTCCACAGCGAAATTTTAATTTACAAACGTACCATACCATCAAATAACTGTAAAGTGCGAGATTTTTGTGACGCGAGTTTGATAGCTATCACTCTCATAGTGTTTATGAATACGACCGAATTATTTATATGTCTACTAGCCTCTTACGAGTATTGAATTAGATTAGTTCATGATGACACAAAATCTCGATCCAGCCAATATTTTCTGTTTTAAGCAAATAAAGTGATGGAAATATGTAGCTAAGTCAATACGATAAATGTAGGTCTCGATGGTACTTTCTCATTAATAGACAGAATTTGGTAATCGAATTGTTAGAATATGATTATCGTAATCTAGAAATATTAAGTACAATATTTGTTGATGTAATTTCTAAACTGAGTTTCAAGTGCACTGATGTGTGTAATATAATGAAGTGAACTTCTATGTAGTTTAAAACTTTAATAAATAAAAACATTTTATGTATCGTTTTATTTGTATCTCTTATATTTTTTATTACCTGTTTGCTTTCGACTGAACAACTAATTCGTAAACCCATATTCTTTGACTTTATGTTTAATACTGTACTGTAAAATGATTATACAATATATATATACATATATATTTATTGATATACATCTACTAGATATATTAAAGATTAAAGTGCCATTCGTAATTGCGAACTATGTAACGTACTTTTCTATAAAGGTACGCCTAAGAATAATTACTACTAGCATTTTAGAGTTCGAACTCTGATATAAATATGGCCGGTGGATTTATTAAGAGTAGCAATCAAATTTTGTAACTAAATAAAATATTAAGGCCTCTTCTTTGGTCAATCAAAATTATTAAAAAAAGAAAAGTAAAGTGTAATAAAAATATGTAGTTATTCATAGGACATAATAGAAAAATTAAAACAACGAATATGTTATAGTATTTATTTGTATTAATGTCTATTCTCACAATTCTTTTTAATTCAAGACTTTTTGACAACCAGATAAATAAATCATGAAATGTATTAATATCTTTTATTTTGTGTACTTATTAGAAAATATCACATTATTTAAGATATATTTTTTTTCCCTATAAGGAATTGCATGCAACTAAAATATAATAGGTAGTACCAACGAGCTATTATTATGTTTTGGTGAGTCAAAAAATCTTGAATGCTATAATCTGTTTCAAATGCAGTATAGTATATCTTCAAACTCGTCTTTTGGTAAACGTCAAACTATTTTTTTTTATTTGTTTCGGGTAATGGTTATGGTTATTGGGTTAAACTTAAATAAAACTACACACTAAAGTAACAATTACTAATTTATAAATTCGTTTTTAGATATGTGTAGGTAACAACATAATTGTACAGTTTCTGACTTAAGTTTTACCTATAATACTCTTTAGATTGGTTAACAGTTCAAACGATGCCAAATCTTCAACGATTCTTAAATACTGTTACATAATTAGTAAAAAAGTTTTTGTACAACTATCTACATCAATAATTAAAAATATCACATACGCAAGGCTCACAATACAAATTGAGTTAATATCGATAATTTGTGAAGATAGCTCTATGAGATTGACGAAGTATTCTATACAATCATTAATCCCAATGGTAGAGCGACAGGCAAGTTATTTTTAAAGTTTTAGATGCATAATGATATTAGGACTTTGACGTAAACAATAGTAATAAATACTTGCAATCATATTATTTAATTGGAAAGTGTTTTTAATAACTTTCTACTTATCGATAACACTCAAGTTTGAATACCATGAGTTGCATAGCTAATAACGTATTAATACAGCGAATGATGAAATTCTGACGAACTCTGTCTAAAATAAAATTCGACATAAATATAATATATACATTGTTCGTGAAAGAACCTTAACAAGATAAATTACCACGCCTTAAAACTTCAATAAAAAATCAGGCTTATTAAATCACAAAAACGGTGCTATAGATTGAGTGTGTTTCATAAATGGCATAAGCAATATTTAAAGTTGTTCGTAGAAGTTCATGGCTTAAGGATTTGAGACGTGGTTCCTAATTTACATTTGTTTAGAAATATGATACAGCTAATACGTTATCGCTTAATGACTCACGGTAGAGTGTGTTACTGTAAAGCCTGTCGTGTAGTGTTGGGCAGGAAGAGGCACATCAGACCGCCGCTGGCCAGCAGCACAGCTACGATGAAGGTAGGGGCAGGGCAGTAGGTATCCAGTAGTGTGGCGATCACCACGTTCCCGATAATACCTCCCAGACGCGCCGCTACCATAGACACGGCTACTCCAGTAGCTCTGTAATTGTTATGAACATCTTAAATTATGAATGTAGCAAAATGTTACGGAGTTATAAGATCCGAAGTCGGTTCACAAAATACTAGCCTTCTATACTTTAAATTTCTAAGAAACTTTATCTCAAAAGAACTTTTCAGTAATCGAGCATATGGAAAGTTTTTACCGAAAGTAGAATCTCGGTTAGTAATTTTAAATCATTACATGCTAAATACTTAAGTACAAATTGATCAATTTCTCATCACTTCTATTACCGTAAGTTTGTAGGGAAGACTTCAGTGATGAGACAGTCGAGTGACGCGTTGCCGCAAGATATTACCGAACTAAAGATGGCGCTGACTATCAAGTTGTTAGTCTTATTGTACACGAAGTACATGGCGGCAGAACACGTGCCCGCTGAGAACGTTGCGAATACTGAAATTTAAGGTAAAAATTACACTTCACTGGAAGTTGTGTATCCCGGCTTGGGTTGGGCACTGTAAACCGGTAAAAATTGAATTAGATACATACAGAAATGTGTGTCCTATTAAGGGCTTACGGAATTTTAAACGATTATTCTATAGACATACGTGTGCTAATTTTTTCTCACCACGCAAACTCTGGCCACATAACGTGCTATAATTAGACATACCTAAAAAGAACTTCCTGCCTAGTCTATCCATTCCAAGAACTGCGAAAATATTAGAAGGTATCGCTGCAGCAACAGTGATTAGAGACTCCATGAAGACGTCAGAGTTTATGTGGGAGTCGCAGTGAGCTTCTGCAGAATGTGTTCCGTATTGTGTCACGTAAGCTGTCACTTGGCAAATGTCGGCTTCAGCGTTATCGTGCGTGCGGGACCACTCGTCGAAGCGGTTAAACATCTCAGGGAACCACATCATTAGACCGTAGTACCTGAAAATATAAAAATTCTAGAATTCCATAATTAACTTAAGGTTATATATATATATAGCTGTATTTGAAAAACAAAATTGCTTATGGTCTAAAACTAAATTTTTCAATAAACAAATTACGTACCCAATATGGAAAGTGAAATTAATTGTGATAGAAATCGTCGTAAACTTCAGAATAGGCGGTACAAATAACTGCTTGCTGTGTTCCACAATATCACTTAACATTCTCCTTAACTTAGACTTCGGTTCTTTAGCTTCAATCTGCTTTTCTTGTTTAGGATGCATCGGCTCTTCTACTAGTAGCTGCTTAACTGGGTACTCCTCCTTACTCCTACCAGTGTTCATCATATAGATTCCTTTAAAGACTTCTAAGGCATCTTCATGGCGACCGGTGGATATCAAAAACTTTGGTGATTCAGGCAAAAGGAATAAAAGCGCAGCCACTATAAACGATGGCAGTGACATCACGAGTAAGAATATACGCCACGAGTTGTAAATGAAAGCACCAGATTGTACGCCGATCTCTGCAAAACAAGAGAACTTTTATTAAAATTAAGAAATCAATTAATAGTTATATTGTAGCTTTTTCTCAAAATATATTTTCACTTTAAACAATAATAAAATTAAATCTATATAAGTATATACATATAATATATTAGATTAAGCTAGAATACTTTAAATTACAGGTATTGAGGATACGTACCACTTGGTATGATAACCCAAGCGAGTCCGGCCACGAAGAGGTTGCCAAGAGTCCAGAAAGCAGCCATAAAACTCAACATAGCACCACGCTTTTTCTTCGGCTGGAACTCAGCGAAGTACGACCAGATGACCGGGCCTGAACCTCCCAAACTGCACAAAAAGAGAAAATTTTATTCATAAATATTGTGTTTATCTATAAAACAATTGCGATTAATGCGTCGTAATAAGTCAATTAAGTGACAATGTTTTCTCTTTAATTTAATTGCGTACCTAACAGAGATGAGAATGAAATATTCACTTCGAAACATGTATATACTTACGCTGCTCCATTCATGAATCTAAACAGCATGAAAAGCTCGTAGTTCTGGCTGAAGGAGGAAGCGACGATGGCCAAGGCGTTGATGATAGATATAGCAATGAGGACTCGCTTGCGACCTAAAGTATCTGCTACGGAGCCCCACGCGTACGCGCCCACCATCATGCCGATGAAGATTATGCTGTTTAGCCATCCCTGTATGCAAACAATATAAATATTCAACTTCACTTCGTGCAATTAGTCTATAGTTGTAAAACAATATATTACGTAAATAGATATATTGTTTTTATAGTTCTAAAATTCGCACGGCTCAAAGTTGTTTACATAGTGATATCACTATTACATCTGATGGTCATGAAACGTATAACCGACACATTTTAATAATTTGAAGCATTGACGAAATCATCATGTACATGATGAGTGGATTTCCCAAAAGGTTAACTGCAAAACCACATAACCTAACAAGCATCTTTAACACATATTGTTCAAACATTAACAATAGTTATTCTTAGAAACTTTGGTTATTTTAATATAACAAACAATTCCTGGTAGGTTAATAAAATCTTAGTAAAACATATCTAGGAACTTGTAAATTGTATTCAAACGCACTTGTGGAGTCATTTTCATTACATTGTAAAGAGATGTTCATTGAAATCTGACGACCGCATTGGGAAGAACTATTCTTTACCATTTAGTGAATTTCACTTTAGATATAAGAACCAGAGTTTGCCCATTGATTTAAGTTTTCAAACATGCATTTATAAAATGTTCAATGCCACTAACCTTTGTCTGAGTGGTAAGGTCTAGGTCGCACTGTGCTGATGGTAGGATGAAAGACATGGAGATGACGTCCATCTCCTCTGAGGTGCTGACGAGGCCGCACACGGCCAGCAGCAGGTAATGGAAGCGGCCATAGTCTGTAATTCCATATTCAAAATCTTATATACCTACTTGAGGGAATACTCGTATATGTATTGTTAATAAGTCATATTAAGTAGGTACAGATTAGATGCCCAGTGGAATTGTTTATCCTGAGTTTGTAATAGGTCTCGTTCTATTAAAAATTTTTGGCACTTTAAACATCTGATAGGTCTACCAAAAGTAAATAATTTAAGAGAAATAGTACGTATTCATATTATATAACTAAACTAAACTGGATCCTCGACAACGCATGCAATAAAATTTATTTGTTTTTGTTGTTAATTGAAACGCTTAGTATGAGAACGTCCCAATAAAAACGATCGTATTTCGAATTCTGCAGATACACGACCATAATATTGTCACGCCACTGTATCCTGTACGTACGTAAACAAAGCTTACTCGTGTCAAAGTATTTCTTAGAAGGCCTACGAGTCTCGTACTCCAAGGAATTGCTACGTGAGCGCTCTGCAGGCCTCATTCATTAATTACTCATTCATAACAACACATTACTTGAAGGCTTCTAAAGGTCTGGGAATTTAAAATTCAAATGTTTTTACATCAATGCGGGCAGCGGTTAGCCTTAAGCTTAACTGAGTTTTTGTGCACGTCTTAACAAGTTGTTGTTGTCTCAGTGACAATAAAGTAAATTTTATTATTATAAATAATTATGATTGTCGTTGAAGTTCCTATTCGCTCTTACAATTGATAAGTTTTGGTCAAAAGTCACAACTATTTCTAGAATATGATGTTCAAAATATTAAATATCTTTACAAAACTCTTCATAAAACATTTGGTCAAAAGTTCTCTCTTTACAGCATATTTATGCACAGACTTGGATGAATATTATAAAGAATCCGCCTCGAATCTGATCATAACAATTCCCGAAGCCTTATCATAATTCTCGTAAGCAACACGTGTCGTTTGTTGTTGTTTACTCACGGGCTAGTTCGATCGCCTTCTCAAAGTCAGCTTTCTCAGTGTGGCCGCCTTTTTCCGGGTCGAATTTTGTTGGAGACTTTAGTGGGGAGATTCCTGTAAATATTCATACAATTTACAGAAAATCTAATTAGATAACATAGTTATTAGTACCTAAAATGTTTTTATAAACGATTTTTCACTAGTACAAAAACGGATCAAACGTCAACCATATTATATACGAGTAGTACCGTAAAAAAACTTAAAGACGTTTCAATCTACGACTCATTGCAAACGGTTCGTAGCAATGGCGTTTGTCACCGCCAGACATACAATTGGTTTGTCTAAATTGGATTAAAACGTTATTTACCTGATGTAAACCAGATATTTTAGTTTAGTATAGTTTACACGTTAACAATAGCAGCTTATACAATATTCATTTTTATCACTTACCAAGCTCGGTAGTTTTGGAACCTGGTCCGTTAAGCTGGTGGTCAATTTTTACATCACAATCTAGAAAAAATTGTATTATTAGAAAAGAACTTTAATAGCTTTAGAACCCGAAAGAAGAAAAATACACAATACGAAAATTTGCAAATAACTAAATAACTAATAAAAAAAAAATTACCAAATAGATGACCTTGGTTGGTTGGATCAATGGATCAGCCCTCTGTGCCTGAAACCTTCCTTCTTAAAGTGATATCTATTACCACTGCTCTTTTTTTTAGACTTTAAAAAGTCTGAAGACAGAACTTTACTGATTGACGTACATTTTTTTGTTGTTATTAATGTCCTTATGTATTTTTTAGAGCATTAATCCGATGGCCAAAATTTTACAGAATATTGTTTATTTATACATAATATTAAATTTTTATTAAGCTATGTGCGTGAGTTGAACTTGCGTTTTTGCTATCTATGTTGATAGGTGTGTATCACGAGTAAAATGCAAGGTCAATATTACAATTAAAAGCTGCATGTTTACTTAGAAATAACTAGAAAATCTCTACTGATATAAAATTATTAATCGTATTTATAATTACTTGTAATACATAAATGAGAAACGTCTAGCCTAACAAATTAAGGTTTAAATATTTTTACACCCATGTTTCACCACGCAATTCTAAAGCCTGAGATCATGTGTATAAACTAGGTATGTTCACTAATAGGGTTTTCATTCAACATCGTAAGGTAACCGACAGGTCTTAGAATAAAAAACTGAGTATTGTGACTGCCATCCGCCAAGTGTGAGTTGGGGCCTACATTCCACGTATAAAAGCTCTTGATGATATTGATAAATAACAATAACATAAAAGTCTTACTGTGAGGTTTCTTGGGCCCAGGGTCAGTTTCTACCATCCTATGCGTGCGGGCAACTATGTATGTTTGCGGCTTGCGATCAACCACACGATCACTGGCTCGGAGTTCGATTCCAACGGCGTCCGGCTCGTCTAGAAAAATAATTAATTAATGTTTTATGGTGAGCACAGATACGCAAAATGGAGTAAATTTGTAATGTTCGTTTGCATGTGTATATTCAAATGAGTCTTGATCATATTATATTGTAACTGATGTATGAATTTTGTTTACTTCTTCTTTTTTGCTTTCATGAAGGGTATGTGTAAATAAAATACTTAAATTGTCTTAGAAATGGCGAACTACGTAAATGCATTTAATTATAATTAAATATTAATAGAACTTCCTTGGTGGCACCCGGCTTATATTTAAGAAATTGGTGATAACGATATTGTCTTGTCACAAGAATATTTAAAGAAAAGTAACACGCCACAAGGCAATAAGACCAGCTTTTAAACAAAAAAAATAAACTTTGAAACCTGTTCAGTCATTGCTATCTACTTATTGTTAAGATATATTACTTAGGTCTATGTCGCTCCTGTGATGCGCAATAAAGTCTATAGAGCTAAAGTTGCTCGCAAAACAAGAAAAACACTGTAATTTGCGTATAATAATAAAATTTCAACAAAACAAATTAAATTTAAGGGCAGACACAGTATATACTTTCTACATATTATATAAGTTGATGTAGATAATTTCAAAATTGTTTATTTTTATTATGTATAGGTGTCCTAAATAGCTATTTGGCAATTATCATGCAACTAAGACATTGCGGTTATTTCATTGTTAGTATTACAACAGAAATACCTACTTCGTCTGCACAGCACCAGTAAATACATTTAGTATTGAGGGTGACCGACAACGTGGGTGACCGACACTTATGAACGATGTATTTTTTTGTAGTTTAAATAAAATGACTTGTTTGTATTATGTTTATTTAACAAATTTTTCTATTTGCATGTATATTACGTATTACGCTGCAAAATATGAAAGACTATGTTCTGTTAAATAATAATCCGAAAAAATCCCCCCCACCCATCGAAACAAGGACTTTAAGGCAAAAACTAATTCTCAATGTTTAGCAGAGTGTGTTGTAATTGAATTATGATTTAATTGTCGAAATAATATTCTCTGACATACAAACATAAGTTGACTTCTAACCTATAAAGTAAAAAGCAAAAATTAAAATGTTTGGTCCTTGTGCCGTTCCTCTTTCACCCCCGGCCTTTTTCCCTCAATGTATTAGCGAGACTTTTTTGGCAGGAAAGTGCCAGCTCTGTGGTCGGTCTATCTCGCCAACTTAAATCTTTAATAAGCACTTGAACCCGGCCCCAGGTCTCTCTCCAAGGGGAACAAAGTTGGGGTGGGGGAAAAACCTTTATATTTAATTGTTGAATAAGTTTCTGCCTGTTCCCGCGCCCGCCCCCCTTTTTTTGTTTTCCAGGAGGGGGGGGGGGGGGGAGGGGGGTTCCCGGGGGGGTGCCCCCCCCCCCTATATATTTTCAAAGACATTTCATCCATTGTTGAATAAGTTTTATTGATAATATAGCAGAGATTACAATTGGTATCAAAGTTATAGAAGAAGAAAGTAACAAAGTAACTAGTGTAGTTCGCAAAAGAACCACAGACTACACATTATTATAGGCAAAGTAGAACGTACCAATTTTGTTTTTAACAAAATGCTTTAGGTTTGGATCCTCAAGGCAACATAAATTCGAACTTTATTCATATAAGTTTTTTTAATTGCTTGTTTATTTTTAGATACTCGAAGTTTATTTCACCAAGAGGAACACCAATCTGCTTATTTAATCTTTTAAATAAAAGAAGTTCATAAACAAGGACGCATCAGCCAAACAGTTATAGGCACACGAATATTGCACAACTAAATATTCAAGCAACGGTTAAAGATCCGTTACAAATCTCGTTACCGCTTAAAAAATCCTTTTTGAAATTAGACCATCGAAAAATTCCGATTGTAATTGTAACGTGTGTTTGAATAAATTTCAACTTAACATAAATTTAAAAACGATTTCAGTTTTATAGGGTCATTTTTATTTTTTCGTAAAAGTTAACTGGACTTTTTTTAGTATTGTCTTTGACTACATCTAGAACACGTTTGACCTGAAGTCATGTTTATAAATTTACAACCATACAATACCTGTTTCGGGCGCTTCACGCAGCTGCTTTACCACGCAGTTATAAAGCTCAAACAGTTCTTTAAATGACATGCTTATGATGAATCTCACATATTCATGGCATGTTTTCATTTACCATCTGTCTTCACAAGCACTAAGTTAAAAGTCAAAGGTATATTTATTGTGATTGATGTGGTGCATTCTTTTCCCTATAGTTTATCCTTTATTTAAATATTAAGTATCAAATAAAACCTAACCTAACACATGTTGCTTATTTACAAAAAAGTCGTACTTTAGACTATGGGACAATCGAGCAATATCGTCGCTGCGCAACGCCAAGAAGCTTAAGGTTTACCGGGTATGTCACGGGCATTAAACGAAATGGTACCTACGGCCTTTTCTTGAAAGCTACGTAGGCGCAGAAAATGCATTAGAATGCTTTTGTTGCGGGATGCCGTCGTGAAGCGTCGTGTTTTAGTATTTCACAATTTTAACTAGTACTATAAAATATGTTTGAAATTGACACGAACGTCGAGTTACTGATTGTCATCAGATTCTCATTTTAATTACAATAGATTGAAACACGCGTATCCTACCAGCATTCGTTGATAAAAATCGTAAGAAAAATAAACAATTCATTCAATTACAAAGTAGTTTATCATAACAACGTCTACATCGTGTGAATCATTCTTGTAATGAAATTTTACTATGTTCGTCCCTGTAGAGTAGCAATTGATTGCAGGAAGTGATTGTGTTATGATAGATTAGTTTGTTGAATTATTACCATTATGCATTCTAAGTATGAAAAAATAACTGAAGTTTAAAAACTCTTAGCGAATCATGAATGCAAGCGTTTATGTGTGTGTAGTTAGTTACATAAACACAAAACACAGGGTAGAGATTTATGCGTCTATGTTTTTTTTTAAGTCAAGTATGTGACCTACAAATCCTAAACGATTTTTTTACCAGAAGCGAACCCACGATTACCAGGATAAAGTCTATGTAAACCATCTTGGCGACCCCATTGATTTAGACTTTGCTACATAGTAGGTAATAAGAAATAATTGCACGTTAGTTATTAGTTTGAAATAATTTAATAATAAAAACATATGTATATTCATAAACATACGTGTAAATTAAATACGTCATAGTTTTATTTAAACATTGGTAATCCAATTGGATTCAACTTCATCTTCAGCTTGAAACGCAGGTCGCACCGCACACTAAAACTGCCTAAAACGATGGTTAGCTTGCGTTGTCCATACAATGTAACGTTTTGTAGCGACACCTATAATCTACGGCTACAGTCACTGCGATAACGTCACACTCTGAAACGCGTTAAAGAAGTTATTTCGACTGCTAAGAGTGTGGCGGAGAGTTTATTGCCAGTTCTTCTCTTCCGTTCTACGCCCTTGATTTGTGAACTGGAAATGTAAAATTAGAAGCATTTAATGTATATTTCTTTTTGGACGTTCATAAGTGTACATTGTGTTACCTATATGAAAAATTGATTTTTGACTTTTGACTTTTAAGGATATATAACTTCTCTACCTTAGCCACTGGAACATTCGGGTCGTCCGGTGAGTGGTGAGACTGGTCGAGGATCCTCCTGTTAAGTTGGAGGATCTGGTCACCATTCTTCCTTCACAGTTTCTTTCCATAAACCCACAAATTTCTATAACCCCGGATATACTTTGTTCTTATTTTGTTTTATATTGTTTATAAAACTGCACACACATAATTACATTAAATATTCTATTGAAGGTTAATTTGACTATTATTCGTAACAAATTATATTATTCCTATTGTGAACAATTAAACGTAACGAAAAAGATATATTAGAAAGACGATATGAAGTTTTCTATAAGCGTAACTTTATTCTTTTATTTATCGGAATATTTAAAATGCTTTAATTTTCATTGAAGGTTATTAATGTGGCTACTTAAACGTGTTTGCACTTGATGGATTGATAAACTAAATGAAAATAATATGTCAAAATTGTATAATAATTGGTAGATTGGAGTGGTAAGAAAGATTCAGCGAGACGCAAACTTAAAAACTATTGTTCCCGAAAGTCGAAGTCTCGATTCTGACCTTACCTTTAGAGTAAAATGTTGCCAGAGAGATCGCTCGAACGCAATAAGCCGCCCGTTGCCCTCATTATTATTTAATTATTCTAATAATACTGATTTTTGCAACGAACTTATTGGACAATAAATAAATAAACAACATTCAGAGTCGGGCTTTAGCGTTATACCTTCCATTCGTCAATTTGAGAACGTTTTTGACGTAAGATTAATACTGAGTGCTAGGGTGACTCTGTATACTCGTATCAAAAACTTGAATCTACTCTTGATCTTATGAATTCACCTTCGGTTAATTTCCATACCTAACTTCTCAAACTTGCGATTGCGTTTCATTAAGTAAATACGGAAGATTAAATAGGAACACATTTATTTAAATATTGGTGATTGAGATTGCTATAATCATATAAATATTTCATAAATGCAAAATAAATTGATTATTTAAATATTATGCAAGAGTAACAATAATTGCATATTTAATGGGTTTTAATTAAGACACCGTAGAAATAAGATTTAAATATTAATGATTGAAAAATAATAAAACAATCGACTTAATAAATTTAAAATATATATATTATATTATTATATTACAAGTTTAAAAGTGACAGCAGTTAAGAATCTAAAGTACTTTTTTTTTTTTTTTTTATGGCTCTGGCACGGTTTGTGCATTAGCCAGCGTCAAGTATAAGATTTTTATAATTCGTGCTTGACTTAGAAATTCGACCGTGTCCTCCATGTACGGTATAAGCACTCGCCCGGTACCGCACAACCCTCCCAAAGGCCG